CAAAACCTTCGGCACGTTTCCTCACTCCACATGCCTCTTCACCCCCACCGGCCGAAAAGCGATCCACCAATCCACTGATAACCGGGTTCCTACTTATTGCAGTAAAAGAGGGCTACGGAGGAAGGAAACTTGCCTAAGATTTTGCCATGTCGGGAATCGATCCTGGGTCCTCTCGCTTACGAGGCGAGGGCACTAACCTCTGCATTACAGGACTGCACGTGAAGGCCCACTTGAATGAATGAGCCATGATCGCGAGTGGACTTTCCTGCTCAGTGTGTGTGTGTGTGTGAATCATTGACATTGGAATCTCCCACTCAGTCATCAAGGCAGTCCTACTCCTCCCATCCTCACCCCACCCAATCTTTTTTTTGTTAAAACAGAAACATTCTGGGGACTTTAGAAGTTTTTAACCTCTGGGTCAAAAGAGGAATAGGCGTTAGGGGAATAACAGGACGATGCCATTCAGCCCATCATGCCTGTTCCGCCCACTAATTTTAATGCCAATTCTCCACACCCCTCTAATAAGCTAATTTTCGAAATATCTACTTACCTCCCTTTTAATACAACCCAATTGTTTCGCCCTGAATGGCTCACGGGCATTGCATTCCACCTTGTTGCAAGGCCTTTCACTCTCTTGATCTCCGTCACTGAAACCCTGTGGTATTGTGCACCGTCGCCACAAGAGACACCTATTTCTGCACGTCACACGTACAGTACAAAGCACGAAAGTGAAGTAACTGACCTAAGTCACTAAGCGCAATATCATTCCCCACAAACTTGAGCAAACGCAGTAATATACTCCCACGCGCACAAGTATCATAGCAGAACTATGAGTCATCCCCGGGGACAGAGTCCAGACATGATGCACTGGCTGGTGTCACTGAACTACGAAACTAGGACCCGCTCGAGCGACAGACTCACATCACAGCCGAGCGCTGAACTGCCCACCGTGCATATTAACAGTGGTGAGCTTCCTCTGATGCACTCAACAACGACAACGTATAGTAATAATCCTCGCATTTGATACAGCGCCTTATCACGTCGTCGAAACGTCTCAAAGCGCTTCACGGAATACACTGTAAAGCGGATTGAATTGCGCACAGCAGTGTCCCACAAACAGTTGTTTGATCGAGTGACCAAATTATTATTATTTAATCTTAAAGGATTATTAACCCCAGGAAAGCGATCCGCCAAACAACTAACAACCAGTCTCAGTCCCTATTTACTGCTAGGCAAACAGAGGCTTGTGGACTAAGGAAACTTGCCTAAGGTTTCGCCAAGCCCAGGAATCAAATATAGGTCCTCTAGCTTATGAAGGGAGTGCTCTAAACCAATATGCTACAGGAATCCACAATCTAAATCTAAATAGCACATCTGAAGGCTCAATTGCAAATTTACAGTGAAGGGTTTGCACCCAAGCTGGAGTTTGGAGATAAGAGGGGTGGAGGGCAAGGGGGGGTGTGGGAGGATGACCAAAGTCAATGAGGCAGATCTTGAGACTGTCTTGAAGAAGGCAAGCGAGGGGGCGAGGTGACGGGTTTCTGGGATGGAGTCCCAGAGGATGGGCACAGAAAGCTGAATCTCTGACCACTGATGGTGGAGCGGGCCATTGCCTGCTGAGCGGAAGGAGCGGACAGGTTGGTAAGAACTTTTGTAAGTCGCAGAGGTAGGGAGGAGGATGATTGTGGAGGGCTTTAAAGGTGAAGACGAGAATTGATTAGAGATAAAAAAATTCTTAGAAAAAAAATACAGTCACTACACGAGAGAATAATTACTGTTAGGAGCTTTGAGACTTTTGATGTCAAAAAACACTATGAAAATGCGAGTCCCTTCTCTCTAGTTTGGGGAACTTTAATGCTTTTGATAAAATTCCCCATCTGCTCTCAACTTTCAGAATCCCCACCACTTAACATTTACAGAAATGTTACACATGTTTATCTCTGCATTGCCAGGTCTCCGGCAGGAGTTCTGATTGAGCGAGTGTTCAGCAGCCCGCAGCTCTCAAGAGCACAATTTACTTTTTAAATTTCCTACAATTAATTTTAGCCACAACAGGTCCTGTACTAATGACAGTAAAGACAGAAACCCAGGTCACCCGGACGAACAATGTCCCCGTGCGACTGGACTATTGGCAAGTTACAAAGTTGCTGTCATAGTCAACCGGAGAAACCCTACAATAATAATAATCCTTGCATTTGATATAGCGCTTTTCACGTCGGGAGGACGTCCCAAAGCGCTTCACAGAACACACTGTAAAGTGAATTGACTGTATATTTGTGGGCGAACGCGGCAGCCAATTGCGCACAGCAATGTCCCACAAACAGTCGTAGATTGAAAATGACCAATTTATTATTGTTTTTGGTTTTGGAGGGATTATTATTAGGCTCTGTGTGGAGTAAGGAAACTTGCCCAAGGTTTCGCCCTCTGCCTGGGATTGAACGCAGGTCTCTCACTTGCAAAGCGAGTGCTCTAACCACTGAGCTACAGGACTCCTATAACTTACATTTATATAGCGCCTATCACCTTTTGTCACCCCGACATCCAGCAGGAACTTGTATTTTACACAGCGCCTTTCACAAAATATTTCACTAGTGGGACCGCACTTGGAATACTGTGTGAGGTTCTGGTCCCCGCAATATAAAAAGGATATTGCAGCTATGGAGAGAATACAGAGGAGGGTCACCAGAATGATTGAGGGGATGGAGAGACTGGACTACGATGAGCGATTAAATAAACTGGACATGTTCACACTAGAGAAGAGAAGGCTGAGGGACAATATGATTGTGGTCTTTAAGATTCCAAAGGGAACAGGTAATGTAGACCATGATAAGCTGTTTTATCTTGTACTGAATAGTAGAACCAGAGGTCACGACCTGCGATTGAAAGGGGGTGAGTGAATTCAGAACAAATCTTCGGAAACACTACTTCAGTGAGCGAGTGGTAAACATCTAGAACAGGATCCCTAGGGAGACGGTGGAAGCATCTTAAGATGTCCCCAACCCAGGAGATGAGTGGGATTTGGCAATCGGGGCTTCAGGAGTTTTTTCTGAGTTTCTGAGGAACTCGTTTTCACTCTCAGGGTGTGATGAATGTAAAGAATTGTCCAATACCAAGACATTCTGAAAGCTATTCTCTGGAACTCACTGCTGGGGATAAGTTAACAATAGTAATAATAATCCTTGCATTTGACATAGCGAGTTATCACATCGTTGAAGTGTCTCAAAGCACTTCATCGAATCCGGGTCCTCTCGCTTGCGAGGCGAGCGTGCTAACCACTCAGCTACAGTACTGCACAACTACCAAAGAGGTGGTGAATTTTCACCCTCTCCGAACAATGTTCAGAACACGCTGATAGCAATATCGCTGTGCATAAACCATCACTCACTGTTGTCATGCCATCTCACCTCAACCACTTCCCCTGCACTTTGGCTCCTCAGTTAAGACTTACGCTTTGCCCCTGGTGTGTTATTGCATGATTAATTGTTTAACTGGGAAACCACCCTCGGGAGCAAGGGCAGAAATAAGCTTAGCTACTGCTCTGTATCACATCCTACAACAACAACTTGCATTTATTTAGCATCCTTCACACGGCCAGCATCTCGGAGCACTTCAACTGGCACATCACTCCTTTTTACGGTGCTGATTCAATCCCCAAATCTGAACACGTTTAGTGGGGAAATATTCTTTCCCTTTAAATAATAATCCTTGCATTTGATATAGCACCTTATCACGTCGTCGAGACATCTCAAAGTGCTTCACACAATGCACCGTAAAGTGGAGTCACTGCGTATTTTGCGGGTGAAACACAGCAGCCAGTTTGCACGCAGCAGTGTCCCACAAACAGTCATAAAGTAAAAGACAACGGTGCTATTTAAATAAACCCAATTTCTTGCTGATTTATTTTTGCGTAAAACCAGGAAAAGATTTCGTTTAATTTTTCTGTACTTCCTTCCTCCCTCCCCCTCCCACCCTCCCAAACCACCTCGCCCATTGTCCCGAGTCCTACAGAGGGCATAAATGTAGGCGTCAGCTTCTAAATTAATAAAAAATAAAATCAGAGGAAGCGCTGAATTGTGACCCCAACCGTCAATACCACACATCGGGCATTAAATGTGGAACAAAGTTGAACACCCCCCGACGTTGAACATAATGTCTGTCATCCAACCTCATAGCACCTCTGTGCACTGGCATAATAACCAGCCAATACACTCAGCAAGAGATAGTCACTCATATTATTGCGTGCTTTGGGATGTCCCAGTGCCTTGGGATGTCCTCTTGACATGAAAAATGCTATAGAAATGTAATTTGGTGCTGTTGCTTTCACACACACACACAAACACACACACACACACACAAACACACACACACATATACACACACACACAGAGGAAACTTACACACTTCATAAAGCTACACGCCCACACACAGCTCCAAAAGTGGCATAGCTGAGCAATGACTCACCGTGTTTACAGCTTGCAAACTGAAGATAAGTCAGCAGGGGACTGACTGATCGGTTGGGGGAGCAGAAGAGGGGTTGCTGTGTGTGTATATATACACTGTATGTGTACACTTACAATGGGGTACACACAGCAAAGCTGGCTTGAGCAGGAACTGGGATACCCTCACACCACACACTCTAGCAGCAGGAATCTGCTGTTAAAAGGTCCCATAGCAAAGTGATGAATCATCATGTTTACCAGTTACTTCTCAGCCTGTGCACAGATCCAGGGCTGCAAGTCACATCCAACTGGGAAACTCTGTCATGTTCGCAAAGCAAGACAGGCTCAAAATCACAAGGCAGGGGCCGAATGACTGGATACGTTACTGATTCACAACCCACTGTATTAACTTACAGAAAGGAGTAGAGAGGCTCCTTTCAGGNAAAAAAAACTGAGAGCGTAACTTCCCTTTCTTCATATTACACAATCCACAGAGCAAACAAATGGTTCCTTCTAGTGTGTATGAGTGTGTATGTGCCAGAGAGATTAATTTCGACTCACCCCTAACGGTCTTTCCGCCTGTGGTCAGTCTCTCTTTCTCTCTGAATGCTGCAAAGTCAGTAATAGTTAGTATCTTGAGTGTTTCTTTCCCCCAAAAAATCCCTCATTCATTTAAAAGCGAAGTGGGGAACTTGGGAGAGTTGCTGATCAGGAATAGGCAGGGTCTTGAGACTACATTCCCAAGATAACATTGTGGCACAGCAATTAATGGATCACTGCATCAACAAAATGTGCCACACTCTCTCTCTCTCTCTCTCTCTCTCCCTGTACCAGCCCAATAAAAGTATTAGCTATTTAAACTGCCACCACCCCCACCCTCCTTTGTTGCCAAGTCTCCCATTTGCCATCATCCATAAACACACACACACACAAACACACACGAGCAGTAAAAAGTGAGCATATGTGTGTGGGGGGGATGTGAAAGTTGCAACATGTTGCTGTACTTACAAATATCAGAGGAATCAGCACACCCTTCAGTGAATTTCAAGCCAAATAACATACATGCCTGATGGATGACATGTCAATGCACCATTCAGCCATTGATCTTACACATTTAATCTCATCCCGTTGATGTCTTAATGCCTTTGTCTCTGAACGTGGCGTTATCCAGCCTATATTTAGACGTGAACCCTAGTTAATGTCTCCCCCTCCCACACATATACTCACTCATTCTCCAAGTGATGTTCAGGCCAAATGCAGCAAGAACTCCCACCATTGCCTGCCACTAGCTGAGATCGATTGACTGACTGACTGACTCAGCACAAGAACTTGCACTCACAACAGCAAGTGTCTTTTCCCATCGAAACACTTATATCCTGACTCAGCATAAACCAGGGACCGCACCCAGCACTATCCAGGCCGGCCGGGTCTGTGTGCGGCCCAGTCTCATGGGGCACACTTACCCACGGAGCTATCAGAGAAAACGTTTTGCACACAAAATTTCACCCACATGACCAGCTTCAGCAATCGAATTCTAATATGCGGCTTCAGTCTAAGATTAAAACATTTTGCAACATTTTTCCTCATTCAATTTCTGCTTTTGTGCAAAGGTATTTCGCTGGAGATCACAAGCTGGAGATTACAAAATTCAGTCACTCAATTCACGACTGTTTGTGGGACACTGCTGTGCGCATTTGGCTGCTGCATTTGTCCCCCAAAATTTAGTCAATTCACTTTATAGTATATTCCGTGAAGCGCTTTGAGACATTTCAAACACGTGATAAGGTGCTATATCAAATGCAAGGATTATTATTATCACGCGAAACTCTTTGAGATGTCTCGAAGACGTGATAAGGCACTACATCAAATGCAAGGATTATTATTATAAACACAGTCGCCTCCAACTTTTCAGATTTGAGGCAAAGGGTTAACAGGAATTGATGGAAAAAAATGTTAAGAGTTTTGTTGTAACATGACAAACTTTCAAGTGGGGGGTGGGACAGGGACATCAATAAACTGGCTTCGATCTGTATCAAAGTGCTACGTTTTTCAGTTATACTTTTTTTGAATTTCCGGTGCAGTAAGTAGTGTACATTCCTCTAGAACTTTCTCCACTTGTAATCTCTACCACAACAGCAGCAATTTCCAACTCAAAGACACTTAGAAAGCCTTCTTCCTCTTTCCCTAAAAAGCGATTCCTGCTTAATTACAAGCACAGAGAATTCATCCCCACTTAACGACCCAATCTCTTAACCTTAAATTCTTCATCTCAACCAGGCGTATAACAGGGCAATATTTAGTCGTTTCTTTTATGTTGATGAGTGTGTGGTGCTGGAAGAAAACTCACAACAACAAACTTGCCAACTTTCGTTGCAAGGTTATTATGAACCAGGCCCTCGTGTTGAGGTGGTGCTCACACTCTGCTCCAGTGCTGGTCGTGGGATCAGCTCGGGATTAGGCTCTCACTCTCCCCAGGAATGCAGGCAGGATCTGTGTGTGGGTGGGTGGGTGGGTGTGTGTTTCCTTTCCTCCCCACCTCTGAGGGAGTGTGGATCTCTCAGCCTCTTTCCACTGCGAGTTCAGGGAATCTCTGTGTGTATCCCCTCCCCGAGGAGTGTGGAATCTTTGGCCCCTCAATCTCTCACTAGAGAGGGGGGTGGTATGAAGATCCCTCCCAGGCCCCCCCCCCCAAAAAAGTCTCTTTTCCCCTCAGAGTGATATCTGACCAGGGAGGACGGTGTGTGTGTGTGTGTGTGGGGGGGAAATCTCAAGTGTCTTTCAATCTCATGCGACGATCTGGATGTTTCTCGTACCCTGGCGAGGCAGAGAGGCAGAACGTGTCTCTGTGTGTGTGTGTGTGTGTGTGTCTCTCTGCCCTGCCCTCCCCTGGCTGGCGAGGGACCCACATGGCCCCCGATGGAATTTGTAGCGTGGAATGTGGCCGAGGATGGCGCGTTGCTGCTACCCCGGGTTTACAGTGCGCGGGTACGGGGTGGCACTTACCTGGCCTCTGGCTCCGGGTGTAGACCTCTGGCCTCTGGCTCTGCAGCTGCTCTGGGGCCGCACACGCGCTCACACACCTCCCCGGCTCCACTTCCGGGAGCGCTGACGTCACCCGCTGTTTACCCACGTGACTCCATTCATGAAATGCCGCCGACGTCACCCTGGGCGCGGGAAAGCAAACTGATACAGTGGGAACCATGGAAACCAGGCTCGGTCCACTCCCGCCACACACTGACCTGTCCATGTGCCCATCTCCTGCGTGAGCTGCAGTGAGACCCTCCACACACACTCCACAAAACACACAGTCAATCCCCTTTACAGCCTATTCTGTGAAGCGCTTTGAGACGCGGCAGTAAAAGGCGCTGTACTCGGATGTAAGGATTATTATGATTATTATTGAAAAGAGGAATTATTTCCTGATATTTTTTTAATAAGGAATGTAACTGGTTCCCGAATTGTTGGGCAGGACCCGGTGCCTGTAACGTGCAAATGCCTCCGGGGCGATTCACGAGGAGTGTAGTGACCGCGTAATTGTAGGCACACGCAGGGGCCACGCGCCATGGCAGTGCTCTCCTTGCTCAATCCTCCACAAGCTCTGTATTATCCAGAACACTGCAGCCCGTATCATTTCCCACCAGATTTTATGAGCCAACCACTCTGATCCTCACCAGTCTCCACTGACTCCCTGTTCCCCAGCCCATTGATGTCCACATCCTGTATTTTGCCTAAAAAGTGTAGTCACTTTTACCAGTAAATCCTCCCAACCTGAATGATGCTAAGGATTATTTTGAATAGTCCCACTCTCCTAAATATTCCCTCCATTCAGCTATCTCTGGCCTTCTGCACTCCCTATCCCCGTTGCCAGTCATGGTGGGCAAGCCTTGAGCCAGTTTGCCCTCAGTCTCTGGAACCCTCTCCCTAAATCTTTCATGCTCTCACCCTCCCACTCTTTCAAAACCCTTTGAGAGACCTACTGCCTCTTTGACCGAGGCTTTGGTCACCTACACCCAACCCCTGCCCCCACCCATCCCACCCTCCTCCCACCTTGCTTGGGGTCCCATTCTGTCTCTGTGAAGGACTTTACAACTATGTGAAAGGCGCATACTCTCAGTCTCTACTCCCTGACTGTCCCTTCTTTAGAGAATTGATCTTTCTCTGTTCATCGTTCCCTTGAACGTTCCTCTCTTCTACGCTCAAGCTCCTGAATCTTCACAGGACTCAAATTAAAACTCATTGCTCATCTACTTTATGTTAAAGTGACAAGATGTGAACTGCCCCTGGTGAAGGGTGCTATATAAATGCAAGTTGTTGTGTGTTAATAAAATGCAATGAAAGGTGTTTTTCCCAATGTCCTGGCCAGCAAGCTTCCATTCATTCGCCTTATAGCTATTTGTGGGTTCTTACAAGTGATTGCAGTGTGTGTCTATCAAAACTAGAGTCAGTGCACTCAACAGTAATTACTTGTGAAGCGCTTTAGATATTTTGGCACAGCACAAATCTGTTTATAATATAGCAGGTTTTACACATAAATTGCATCTCTGAGTGTCAAGACCTGAGTTGTTGGGACATGAAAATTATTGTCACACTACGCATGCAGGCCAGGGAGCTGTCAACGATTTTGATTTTAAAAATAATTAAACACTTTTGCTCGGTGTGGCTCTAAAAAACAAACACGGGGCTACAAGCCTAAATGAGTTTGCATTTAAGATGTCAATCTCGTTGATCACATGTGTCACTTCTGACATTCTCCCAATCCTTGTCAGCTCAGCAAATAAACCAAATTTCATTATGCACCGTGTATGTATGTATAATTTATGCCAGTCATTCTAAGCGGGCGGCAGACCTGTCAACGTATACTTATTTCCCGGTGGCGGAGTTATTTGCGAACAAATTGTAACTCGCTTTTGCTCTATGTCTTTTTCAAACGTAATAACTCCGGGCTCCGTTCATTTCAATCTGCCGCTGCTCGTCTCAGCAAATGTCACTGATTCTTCGCTCTGACCTTGGAGGGCTGACCCTCACAGTCTCGAGTACTGTCCTATCAGTTTCCCCCCCACCACCACCCACAATGTGGGGTAAAAACAATGTTTTATGGAAAACTGTAATGTAATTTAAAACTGAGGTGGATCGACTTTTGTTAGGTAAGGGCAACAGTAATCCTTGCATTTGATATAGCACCTTATCACATCTTCGAGACGTCTCAAAACGCTTCACAGAATATATTGTAAAGTGGATTGACTGTATATTTTGTGGGCGAAACGCAGCAGCCAATTGCGCACAGCAGTTTTCCACAATTGTGAATTGAATGACCAAATTATTATTATTATTTTTATCAAGGGATATTAACAGGGCAATTGGAGTTGAGGTACAGATCAGCCATTATCTAATAGAATGGCAGAACAGGCTCGAGGAGCTGAATGGACTACTCCTGTTGCTATGTCCAGGTTTGCAGCAAAACTGCAAAATCCCAGCGTTGGACCTTGCTTTGTGTTGAGTAATGATATTTTAAATACGAGTTTATTTATTTACAGATCAACTGCTGAACTTAGGTTAAGGTGTCAACCTGGCTCAGGTAAATGGATGCTGATCTCAGTCAGGTCAGCATTAGGACTGGATGGATGGAGAACTGGCTCCTGCCAATACTACGCTGGAGCATCAGCCTAGATTGTGAGCTCAGTTCCCTTGAACCCCAAACCTCCTGAACCCGGGGCAAAAGTCCGACCGAATGAGCCAAGCGTAAGCACGGATGCAACTAATCTGCCCAGTCCAGTGTGTACAGTGTGAACCTGACACAATTCACAAAGAATGTGCTTTGTGTGTTTAAAGCATTGACTTCAGTATGAAGCTCCTCTAGATAAAATCGGTCATTCACACCTCATGGCCATTTTGGGGACCGCACTATGTAAATAGTTGTAAAGCCTGCCCATAAATACAGTCGCTACACTTGTCAGTAATTACCTGTGAAGCACTTTGTTACAAGGGGCTGCATAAGTGTTCTGCAACCAAATGGTATCACACATGATTTTCAACAGCTCAACAGTGCTACCTATCGGCACACAACGATACCGCACCTACATACAACTTAACGTGCAGACAACACTGAGATGAAATGTTCTTGATCAGTTCCCACAGGCAACATCAGATCTCCTCTGGCCAGCACCACAGCTTGGAATGTTAGCAAAGTGCTGGGCAGCGGGTGCCTTAAGGTGCAAGGATTATTATTATTATCATCATCATCATCATAACACACAGAAGCTGGTAGGAAACGTGAGTTTAATAATCTTTGCATTTGATACTGTGCTTATTAATTATCGCTCCAAAATGCTACCCCAGGGCGAAGAGCGTTACATACAGTGCAAGTTGTTATTATTGCATTACATCAATTGTGTGCCAGCCTGGCTCGGCTCTTGCCTCTGAGTCAGAAGATTGTGGGTTCAAGTCCCAACGTCGGGATTTGGAATCACATCATCTAAGATGCTCCAATGCAGTACTGAGGGGGGAGGGGGGTGTTGCATTGACAGAGGGACCTTCCTTCGGATGAGATGTTAAACTGAGGTCGGGTCTGCCTGTTCAGGTGGACGTTAAAGAACTCGTTGCACTATCCGAAAAGAGAAGGGTGTTTCTCTCTCCTGTAGTCCTGGCCAACAAATCCCCCAAATAAAATTGGTCACTCACTACATGGGGGAACACTGCTGTATGCAAACTGACAGCCGCATTTTGTCCACAAAATTCATAGGAAATCCACTTTACAGTATATATTGTGAAGTGCTTTGAGACGTCTCGACGATGTGATAAGGATTATTGTTATTATAGATCCGTGGTTGTCAGTTTGTGTACAGCAAGATCCTACGTCCCACCCATGAAGTGAATGACTAATGACTCTCTAATACAGGGGATATATATATACACACACAGTATATTCTGTGAGGTGCTTTGAGACGTCTTGACAACGTTATAAGGCGCTATATCAAATGCAAGGATTATTATTATTATATTATTATTATTACCTGGAGGATCATTGGCCAGGATACCAGGAGGAACTCCATGCTATGTTCCAGTAGGTTCTTTTTGTTTCAAATTTGAGGCATTTTTGAACAATTTGGCTTGAAATCTGCTCAAGTCAGTGAATAAAAAACAAGGAGCTGGGGGGAATGCCTCTATTGGGTCGAGTCTGTGACTTCTGTAACAATAATAATAATAATCCTTGCATTTGATACAGCATCTCATCACATCACTGAGACGTCTCACAGCATTTCATAGAACAAACTGCAAAATGGAGTGACTGTGTATTTTGTGGGCGAAACGTGACAGCTAATTGCACACAGCACCGTCCACCACAAACAGTCGTAAATGGAGGGACAGTTTCCCTGCTCCCTCTCTAGCAAAGCAACCGGTTAGTTTACACTCTGGGGATGATAATAATCATCCTTGCATTATCACGTCTTCGAGACGTCTCAAAGCGCTTCACAGAATATACCGTACGGTTAATTGACTGCATATCTTGTGGCTGAAACGCGACAGCCAATTGGGCACAGGTGACAGATTATTTTACAGATGTCATAGTGAAGTGAGTCCCTTTTTTTTCACACACACACACACACACATATATATATATATATAAAAAAACACATTACACATTAAAAAGTCCACTCTTTCAAGTCCCGCCTGAAAACTTTCCTCTTTCGACTGTGCTTTCGGTCACCCCCTACCCCCCACCCCCGGCTCGGAGTCAGGCTCTGCCACTGTTAAGCGCTCTGAGACGCTGCCCTGCGCGGAGGGAGGGCGCTGTATAAGTGCAAGTCGTTGCCGCAACGGCAGGAAACTTAAAATACTTTTTTTTACACACACACACAAAATCTCAGGTGAACTTCCACCACATCCGCCCCAGTGGGTTATTCCTCCAGAGGCCAACGTGAGGTGAGGAGGAGCAAAGCCATTCCTCTCTCTCCTTCTCCCCTCACTCTCCCCCTCCTGATCCTCTCTCTTCCCCCTTTTCACTCCCTTCCTCCCTCTCTCTCTCTCTCACTCACATTCTCTCACTCCCTTCCTCTCTGGCACACACTCTCTTGTCTTTCTCTATCTTCCCTCCCGCACTCTCTCACTTTCTCTCCATCCTCCCTCTCTCGCATTCTCTCTCTGGTTCTCTCCATCCATCCTCCCTTCTTCTCACACTCTTATCTCTCTATCCCCACCCTCTCCCACATTCACCCTCTCTCTCTCTCCATCCTCCCTCTCCCACATTCACCCTCTCTCTCTCTCCATCCTCCCTCTCCCACATTCACCCTCTCTCTCTCTCCATCCTCCCTCTCCCACATTCACCCTCCCTCTCTCTCTCCATCCTCCCTCTCCCACATTCACCCTCCCTCTCTCTCTCCATCCTCCCTCTCCCACATTCACCCTCCCTCTCTCTCCATCCTCCCTCTCCCACATTCACCCTCCCTCTCTCTCTCCATCCTCCCTCTCCCACGTTCTCTCCATCCATCCATCCATCCTCCTTCTTACACGCTTATCTCTCCATCTCCCACATTCACTCTCTCTCTCCATCCTCCCCCCCTCTCTCCATCCTCCCCCCCCCTCCCCCTCCTCCCTCTCCCGCATTCACTCCATCTCTCTCTCTCTCCCCCCTCCCCTCCCCTCGGTGTTTTGTTGCTGAAACAAACAGCTGAAGCGGCCCCGGCGCTCGGCCTCCTGTGGTGCAGACAGAGCCAGAGAGACAGGGAGAGGGCTGACGGCCGGGCCGGGCCCGCGGGCCGGGCTGGTGATGGCGGTGCTGAGGCAGGAGGAGGCGGGGTGGCTGCTCGACCATCTCTCCCACATCAACAACAGCTATCGCTGCTGTCACGGCCCCGGCGGCTCCGGCCCGAGCGCGGGCGGTTACGTGTTCCGGCCCGAGTACTTCTCCCTCCTGAGGCCGCACATCCTGGCGGGTGGCGGGGGCGAGGCTGCGGGAGAGGCCGGGGCTGAGGGAGAGGCCTCGGCGCGGAGGCGGCGGAAGCGCCGGTGCCGGGAACTGAACACGGGGGAGGCGGAGGCGCGGGAATATCACGCCGGAGTCAGGCTGGCCATCGAGAGCGGCGCCCGGCGGCTGCTGGCGGGAGAGAGCGAGGCCCGGGGACCCGGCCTCGGCCTGGATCTCACCGCAGGCCCCGGCTCCACCGCGGGCCTAGGCCGCACCGCGAGCCTCGGCCTCGCCTCAAAGCCCAGCCCGGCGCCCCCCGGGGACCCCCGGCTGGCTGAGCTGTGCCTGATGGCGGCCCGGCTGCCCCGGGGCCCGGGCGGTGGGCCGCAGGCGTTGGGGGAGACACCGGCCGAGGAGCTGGACCTGTTCGGCCGAGTGACGGAGAACCGGTCGGGCTGCGCGCGGGTGGCCCGGCTCCTGGGGCAGCCTTACCTCCTGCCGCCGGCCTCCCGCTTCCTCCTGTCCGACCTGAGCCGCCTGGAGCCGCTGCTGCTGCTGCTGACGACGACGACGGCGGCGGCGGCGGCGGCGCCCGAGGCCTCGGGGGGTCGGTACGGGCTGATCACGCTCGACCCGCCCTGGGAGAACCGGTCGGTGAGGCGGAGCGGCCGCTACCCGAGCCTGGCCCCCGCGGACATCAAGCGGCTCCCGGTCCCCGCGCTGGCGGCTCCCGGCTGCCTGGTGGCCACGTGGGTCACCAACCGCCAGCGACACCGGCGCTTCGTGCGGGAGGAGCTGTACCCGCACTGGGGGCTCCGGGCCGCGGCCGAGTGGCACTGGGTCAAGGTCACCCGCGCCGGGGACTTCGTCTTCCCGCTCGACTCGCCGCATAAGAAGCCGTACGAGACCCTGGTGCTGGGCACCTACGGCCCGGGCCCGGGCCTGACCCCAGCCCCGGGCTCCGGCCCAGGCCTGACCCCAGCCCCGGGCTCCGGCCCAGGCCTCACCCCAGCCCCGGGCTCCGGCCCAGGCCTGACCCCAGCCCCGGGCTCCGGCCCAGGCCTCACCCCAGCCCCGGGCTCCGGCCCAGGCCTCACCCCAGCCCCGGGCTCCGGCCCAGGCCTCACCCCAGCCCCGGGCTCCGGCCCAGGCCTCACCCCAGCCCCGGGCTCCGGCCCAGGCCTCACCCCAGCCCCGGGCTCCCTCCCGGGCCTCATCCCAGACCACAGGCTGCTGGTCAGCGTGCCCTGCTCCCTGCACTCCCACAAGCCGCCCCTGGGCCCTGTGCTGGAGCTGGCCGGCCTGGTGGCCCCCGGGGCCCCGAAGCTCGAGCTGTTCGCCCGCAGCCTGCAGCCCGGCTGGACCAGTTGGGGCAACGAGGTCCTCAAGTTCCAGCACCTGGATTATTTCCTCAAGGCGGGCACTGGGCAGGGCTGCTGCCCACAGGCTGGCACCTCACCCTCACCCTCACCCGCTCACTGCCCCTCACCCTCACCCGCTCACTGCCCCTCACCCTCACCCGCTCACTGCCCCTCACCCTCACCCGCTCACTGCCCCTCACCCTCACCCGCTCTCTGCACCCCAACCTCACCCACTGGCTGCACCCCAACCTCACCCTCACCCACTGGCTGCACCTCAACCTCACCCTCGCCCTCTTTTTGCACCTCAACCTCACCCTCGCCCGCTTTCTGCACCTCACCCTCGCTCTTGCCCGCTCACTGCACCTCACTCTCGCCCTCTTTCTGCACCTCACCCTCACCCTCTTTCTGCACCTCAACCTCACCCTCGCCCGCTCACTGCACCTCAACCTCACCCTCAGTCACTGGCTGCACCTCAACCTCACCCTCGCCCACTCACTGCACCTCACTCTCGCCCTCTTTCTATACCTCACCCTCGCCCACTCACTGCACCTCACTCTCGCCCTCTTTCTACACCTCGCTCTCGCCCGCTCACTGCACCTCACCCTTGCCCGCTCTCTGCACCTCAACCTCACCCTCGCCCGCTCACTGCACCTCACTCTCGCCCTCTTTCTGCACCTCACCCTCACCCTCTTTCTGCACCTCAACCTCACCCTCACCCGCTCACTGCACCTCAACCTCACCCTCAGTCACTGGCTGCACCTCAACCTCACCCTCGCCCACTCACTGCACCTCACTCTCGCCCTCTTTCTACACCTCACCCTCGCCCACTCACTGCACCTCACTCTCGCCCTCTTTCTGCACCTCAACCTCACCCTCGCCCGCTCTCTGCACCCCAACCTCACCCTCGCCCACAGGCTGCACCTCAACCTTACCCTCGCCCACTCACTGCACCTCACCCTCGCCCTCTTTCTGCACCTCAACCTCACCCTCGCCCACTCACTGCACCTCAACCTCACCCACTGGCTGCACCTCAACCTCACCCTCGCCCACTCACTGCACCTCACCCTCTTTCTGCACCTCAACCTCACCCTCACTCTGCACCTCACCCTCGCCCTCCCTCTGCACCTCAATCTCACCCACACTCTGCACCTCACCCTCGCCCACACTCTGCACCTCACCCACTCTCTGCATCCCAGCGCCACCCTAGCCCACTCTGCACCCCAACACCACCCTAGCCCACTCTCTGCGCCCCAACATCACCCTCACCCACTCTGCAGCCCAACATCACCCTCACCCACCTCAATGTCTCCCTCGCCTGCTATCTGCAGCCCAACCTCTCCTTCACCCACTCTCACCACCTGAATGTCTACATCGCACACTCTCCACCCACATCTCCCCTAGCACCCTCTCCCCAAATCCTCATCTCCCCTCACCTTCCCTGAAGGTTCCCCTCAGCACTGACTGAACTGGAATGTCCAGGCCAACTATCAAACTCGGAAATGCTAATCTTTGCATTTACTTGGGGGAGGACATTTCAAAGCCTAAACAGGATTTACTGCGAAGTGCAGTCACCGTTTTGTGGGCGAGCGCAGCAGCCAAGGTGCGTACAGGATGGTCCCACAGCCAGTTGCTAGCCATGAAATGGAACAGTTTTATTTGGGGGATTGTTGGGCAGGACCAGGAGAAAGTCCCTTCTTTTGAATAGTGCCACAGGATCTTTAACGTCTACCTGAACAGGGAGCTCGGTTTAACTAATCTGAAGGACAGCACTCCTGACAATGAAGCACCCCCCTCAGCACTGCACTGGACTGTCAGCTTGGACTATAGGAGTTCTGGGTCCTGACTCAGAGACGAGAATGCTTGAACCAGGTCAACCGCTTAGTTCTCATACTGCCGAGTTTTGGAATGTTTATCCTCTTGAAACTAGTTTTATAATTAAAAAGTTATTTTTCTCTTTTTTTGTTGCATTTCTTCATCCAGAAAGGTAACTAACAAGAGGAACAGGATGCCAGGAAGATGGTTGAGGCCAGGACCTTGGGACTCATTTAAAGAATGATTCAAAATGCTTTGATGGATCAGATTAGATGAGCCAAAGGCCCTCGTTCATCTGAACCGATTTGGCAATTTAGATCTTCATTTCCCCTCAACATCCGTAACTGGGTCTCGTATAAAATCAGTACAGGTTAAACTTCAATGGCCATTGCCAATAACACAAATTCAGATGGATCAAGGGGATTCATGTGGAGGAGACTATCTCTCACCTGCTTCCAGATTAAGTCAACATAGCTGCACCCTCCCCTGTTGGTAAGACTTCCTCTCCAGCCCCATTTTAAACCACATCTGCTAATCCGACAGAAAAACAAGCTGGTGTAACAACTTCTTTCCAGCTGTACTTTAATAGTTTTGATATATATATATATATAAAAATTAAGTGCTATGAAAAATACAGAGCAACATCCCAGGTGTCCCCAGGTGCAGGGATTCTACAGTACAATGCCGAACAGCATTGCTCTGTGCAGGTTCCATAGCACAGGACAGCTCCCCAGGCTGGAGATATGATGCTCGCAGAAATCAGTTACAGTTGGTAAGAGTGTCCACACCAATCAAGAGTTCCACATATATTATGCCACTTACACACAGGCATTTCTCTGAAGACATTTCCATTTCTTAACTCATGCCAGGCGGGAGCTTGTATCGCTCCTATTCAACATGAAGTCAACTCATCCAGGTTCCTTGTCCGTCATCTCCCAATGGGGACAGCAGATGGCAGAGGAGAGTGAGGGGTGGTGGTGAGGGGGAGAAATAAAAGGTTTGCAATAAACGTTCTCTACAAAAAGGAAATAAATACAATCAGAAAATCAGTTGCATGTTTTTCTCCACAATGCTTAGCCTCCCCGAATGACCTGAACAAGTCTTTTGACTACACCCTAGGAGAATGAAGCTAAGACACACGATTATACTCTTTACCTACCCCCAACCCCTGCCCCCAAAACGACTCAACCTTATGCACTCTTGGGTCACCCTAAGCCACCAGCAAGTCTATTACGACTGAGTTATTTCCGTCTCGCTGGAGGCTTGCAATGGAATTCAAAGATTGCGATGGAGCTTTTCACCCACGCAGAAACATTAAAACCAGGAATGCGTTTCCCTGTCTCTGACCTTCCTCACGGTGGAGAAAACGGTACAGTTTCCCAGCACTGTACCGGTGCCCTCTCTCCCCCCACCCCCCGCCACAACAATATCCAAAGAGCAATACAGTAGGGCCAGCCCAATCCTTTGGACATAAGTTATTGATTGAGGGGGTGTTTCTTTTGTCATAGGTTAAAATCGAATTGATGCTGAATTGGTATTTTTTATAAACAAGCATGCACAGGAAAGTTTTTAGAGTTCGTCTTCAGAGCTGATGAGGGTGGTTTTCTCCACGTTCTTCCTCCACCCTGGGACGTGCAGGTGTGACTGAGGCAGGGTGTGGCCGTTGTGCCTGGGCAGCACCTCGTCGCTGGACTGCTGTGCGTACTGCTGGTACGCTGGAGAGAAGTTGTGGATGGCGTCCTGGACGATATCATTAGGGTTTATGGTCTCCTTCAAGCCACTGGATATGCTCTGCATGGGGGCGGCACCGCCCGCTGGAAAGAGCAGCAACAAATTACATTTACATAACTATAATAAATACAAACAGAAGTGGCTGGGAACACGCTCAGCAAGATAGGCAGCATCTATGGAGAGAGGAAAGTGAGTTAACGTTTCAAGTCGTTGACCTTTCGTCAGGAGGGTCTTGAGACAGGCCTTGAAGGAGGTGACCTGAAATGTTAACTCACGTTCCTCTCTGGGTAGCGGCTGCCTGACCCGCTGAGTGATCCCAGCGACTTTTGTTTTTATTTCAGATTTACAGCATCTGCAGGCCTTGTAAATGGCTTGTACATTTACAAGGCGACTTTCGTGTCTGGAGGATGTCCCAAGGCGCTGGGCAGTCAGAGATTTGGACCCAAATTGGGGGTTGAGATCAGGGAAGGTGGAGGACAGGGAGGGTGGGGTTAGGAGGGTGACCGAAGACGCGGTCGAATAGACGAGCCTTGAAGGAGGTGATGGTGGGGTGGGGGAATGAGCGAGGTAAAGAGACTGTGCGGGCAGAGAGGCTGAAGTCCTAACCATTGATAGTGGGAAGGCCAGGCAGGGGACATGGAGCAGGACGGAACCCGCTGAGCGGAGGGAATGGACAGAGTATGGAGTTAGTAGGTCACAGAGATAGGGAGGGGCAAAGCCATGGAGGGCTTTGAAGGTGAGGACGAGAGCAAGAAGACACCTAATAATACTGATAATCTTTACGTCTGATGTAGCACCTTTCTTGCCTGGACAGTGTCTCAAAGCGCTTCACAGGATTCACTGTAAAGTGAAGTAACTGTATTTTGTAGGCAAATGCAACAGCCAATTTGCGCACAGCAACGTCTCCACAGACAGCTGTTGGAAGTGAGTGACCAGTTTGATCTAAGGAGATTTTGGTCAGGGCACTGGGAGAAACTCCCTTTTCAAATACATGTAGTGCCCCGAGATCCTTACTGTCCAGATAAACATGCAGATGGGACCCTGGATTTATGTTTCATCAGAAGGACGGCACCTTTGACAATGCAGTGCTCCCCTTAGTTCTGCACTGGAGTGTTAGCCTAGACTATGAGCTCAAAGTCCCAATGTAGGACTTGAACCTTGTGCCTCAGGTTACTGCTAACTGAGCCAGTTTGACACCAAATAGGCAGAAGAATCAGAAATTTCAAGTGATCTTGAAGTTACCAATTGCCTTGTTTGGCCCACTCTCTGCCATGCTGGGTGCTCTTACCTTGGGTGGTTTCTTGCTTCTCCCTGTAGACCTGGGAGGTAAAGGCGTAGCGAAGAGCGATGGCAGCAAAGAACATCTCGATGCAGATAATGAAATTCTGGCAGCCCGCGGCCACTGTGCCAGCTCTTACTTCGTGCCCGTCGATAATCTGCACCTCTGGGATCACTCCGCACCTCTCCAAGATAGCGAGTAGCATTCCTGGCAGGAATGCCAATCCAAATCAGGTCAAAGGCAACAACAACTTGCATTTATACAGCGTCCCTCATGCAGGATAGTGTCCCAGAATGCTGGGTGGGAGCATACTGTATGCTATAAATTTTTGTTAGTGCAGAATGGGATTTTTTTATTAACCCATCAAACAGGAGGGAACACATTTGTGTGTGTGTATGGTTTGGGGAGTGGAAGGGAAATGGGGAATTCAGTGTGGTTAAAGGTAATGCCGACCTTACCAGGCATGAACGATCAGCAAGGGTCTCTCTGGTTTCCCACCCACCCACCCTATCCCCGAACATGGAGGCACTGAAACAAATTGCAAGCCTCTGAACTTGAACTGATGCAATTCACATTTATATAACACCTTGCATTTATATAACGTGGGGCAGTGTCTCGCAGTGCTCAACAGTGGCGGAGCCTGACACCAAGCCGGGGAATGGGAGGAAGTGACCGTAAGCACACTCGAAGAGGAATGTATTCAGTCATGATCGAAAAGAGGGAAAAGAGGAGGCAAGACGAAGGATTGGGGGAAGAGAGTTCCAAATCTTCGGGGCGTAGTGGCTGAAAGCACCTAGACTGGAGTTCAATGTCCCGACGTGAGGCTTGAACCCACTACTCTGAGAGTGCTACTGACTAACACCTGTCAGGTCCCGTTACTGAGTGGAGGTGGGGAAGAAAGACCTACCTTGCCAGAAGGAGAGGAAAATGACTGACTTCACAGTGAGGAATTTCAGGACAGGTTCAAACGGGGTGAGCAGCTCGCTGGTGGCGAAGTAGAAGAGGAAGAGTGCGTAGAGGGCGAGGCTGACCGAGATGTTGTAAACAATGGTGATGTACAAGTATCCACTGCTCACACTGCGGGAGGAAACCACTATAAATAACGATACGCTATCTTTCATGTTGGAAGCATGTCTGAAAGCGCTTCACAGGATGTTATTAGGCTCTTACCAACCTGCGCCTAATACGTTCCGGAATTAGGTAGGCAGGATGCGAACTTCCAGTGAGAGAGAAAGTGTGCATTCCATTTCAACAATCTATCTCTGAAATTTTCAACAACAACTTGCTTTTATATAGCCCCCATCACGCTGGGTTGTGTCCCAGAGCGCTTTCTACGTGTAGGTGGGATGCATGGAATTCTCAGTTTGGTTTGGATACTCTTAAGCTTGGTGATGGGTTTCCACACGTGTCAGACAGCCGAGTGACTAGAAATAGAAGTGCAGTGACTGTCAGTTTTGTAGGCGAAAGCAGAAGGCAATTTGCGCACAGCAACATTCCACTGAATTTTATCCGGGGGATTTGTCAGCCGGAACTCCTGGAGAAACTCCCTTCTCTTTTTGAATAGCACTGCGGGATCTCTTAACGTCCATTTAAACAGACCCCAACGGGTCCTCAGTTTAATGTCTAACATGAAGGACGTACTGAATGTGGACGTATGAAATTCTCCACAATCTTAAAAGAATGTCAGACTCAAGGATCTTGCTGGTTAAAGTCTATGTCAAATAATTTCAGTCCTAAGGCTTTGGACCGGACTGGACTGGGATGAGATGGGAAGACTGCAATGTTTGACCTTCTGGAAGGATAAGGTCCAAGGGACCTTCTTCATCCAAATCACCTCGTGTGATATGGCAACATTACCCAACAATGAGAACTTCCTACTCTGTTCAGCCTGTCCTTGTCCTGCACTAGACTGTCTGGACTCAACCCATGGGTAACTGAGTGAACAGTCAGCACATGTGGACAAAGGTTAACATTCAGGTTCAGAGACTTGTCAAACAAAGTGCGGACTTACTCAAAGTCTCCATCGTGATATTTGCCGAACATTTGCAGGATGATGGTGATCAACGCCATCAGTGGCTTAATAACACAGAACTGCAGAGTGGCCTGGAGAGGGGAAAAGTGGGTTACTCACTGTCACAGCAATGGGAGACTGGCTTGCATCTGTCTTGTATGCACGAACACACACAGGTTTTGAGGGTACATGCAGATACTTAGGCCCTTACACATGCACAGACACATACACACATTTGCGCGAGCACCGACACAGTAAGTTCAGGCTCAGATGCTGCACCGGGTGTGTGTGAGCACGCGTGCGTGCAAGAGAGTGTAAGTGTGAGTGCGAGAGAGGGTAAGTCTGAGTGCATGTGTGCATGGGCATGAGACTGTGTGTATGTGTGTGCGCGAGAGTGTGAGTGTGTGTACGTGTGTGTGTGTGAGAGTGTGTGTGTGCGCATCACAGCCTGAAGCTTCTCTCACCTGTTTGCAAAACCTCAAAAATCCGATCGAGTAGGTCAGTCCCTGCAAACAGCACGTCCCGTACATACAGCTGGACCTGGGGGGTGGGGGGAAAACATGACAGGAGCATGAACAAAGAAACACACTACAGCTCCCACCTTACGGGAACGTTCCTGGGAATGTATCATTGGATTGGCATTAATTGAATTCAACAGCTTGTGTTGAAACTTTTCCTGCATTTCAGTGATACCTGAAGCTGGCATTGGGCTGGTATCACAGCATCGCTGGGACTTGGGTAAAAGACTACTGTCTCCTTGTGAAGCAGAGGTCGTCGGCCTGTCTCAGTCAGCTGTGCTATTTCCCGTGAGTCAGCAGGCTGTGAGCTGGATGCAAAATTGGTCGTTCATCTCACGAGTGTTTATGAGACCTTACAGGGTGAGAAAAGACACAGAATTGCCACATATCTCACCTGATGGGTTTGCCCCGGATTTCTGACATAATTGCGCTCTCTCCGCCCAGGTACTCGTAGCAGAGGCTGAGGAAGTTGTAAATCACAAACGCTGGAAAGGGAGACGGACGGGAGAGATTAATGTAGAGTAAAAAAAATGCAACCTATTGTTCCAAGTCCCCATCAATTGATCAGCAGCTTACGTGATGTCCCACAAAGTGCAACAAGTGTATATTAATATCGCTCCGAGACACTGCCCCACACGAAGGACGCCTTTTAGAGTCCTGTAGCTTAATGGTTAGAGCGCTTGCCTCGCAAACGAGAGGATCCGGGTCTGACCTACTATCCCCCTACCTACCTGCCCGTACCCTCCGTTCCTCTGGCTCCGGTCTGCTCCACATCCCCCGCCCCAACCGCCCTACCATCGGTGGCCGGGCCTTCAGCCTCTCAGCCCCGAGGCTCTGGAACTCCATCCCCCAGTGCCTTCACCACCTCCTCCCTTTCCTCCTTCAAGGCCGGTCTCAAGACCTTTCTCTTTGACCGTGCCTTCAGCTCCCCTCTCGACTCTCTACCCCCTCCTCGCTCCCTCCCTTCCCTCCCCTCACCCTGACCATTTCGCCCCTGCTCGGGTCCTGATCCAACTGTACAGCGCCTTGGGACGTCCTCCCGACGTGAAAGGCGCTCTATAACTGGAATCTTGTTGTTGTTGATTCCCGGTCACGGCGAATTGTTAGGCAAGTTTCCTTACTGCACACGCCTCTGTTTACCTAACACTAAGCAGGAACCCGGTTGTTAGTCGATTGGCAGATCGCTTTTCCGGGGCTAATAATCCCTTCAAAAAAAATTATAATAATAATAATGTGGTCACTGAATCAATGACTGTTTGTGGGACGTTACTGTGCGTAATTGACTGCCGCGTTTCACCCACAATATATACAGTCAATTCATTTTGCAGTATATTCTGTGAAGCACTTTGACACGTCTTGAAGACGTAATATGGCGCGATATTAAATGCAGCCAATTAATGTCCCACAAACATGGAGTGAGTGCGACCAATTTTTGTTTGGTGGTGGGGGGGATTATTGACCAGGAGACTGGGAGAGAGAAACTTCCTTCTCCCTTTGAACAGCGCCGTGGTATCTTTATTGTGCGACTGAACAGGCAGACAGGACCTCAGTTTAACATCTCATCTGAAGGATGGGATCTGATGGGAAGTCTCCCCCTCTTCCTCCCTGAATCCTGAATGGAATATCAAATCCCAACATATAAAACCAGGCAGAAGTTGAGAGAAATAAATCAGCTTCTTTTAAAAAAAAACTCCTTACATCAAAACATCTGAGTAAAGATAGAGGAATCAATTATCATCAACAACAAATTACATTTATATAGCGCCTTTCATGTCAGAAGGACGTCCTAAGGCACTGGGATGACTTTCCGACGTGCAAGGCGCTGCATAAATGTATAAAGGAGCTTATCAAACACGCAGCACAGTGTGTATCCAACGAGGACCACAGCTCGTAGGACTAAGGACGTATCCACACACACACATCTCACTAAAGAGCCAGACAAGCTGGTCATTCATTAGCAATGTTCTGGATCACTGTCTGGCACTGCCTGGACATGCACTTCTGGAGACAGTCCAACCCTACTTGGTGTTTTCTCCCTCTCTCTCTCTCTCTCTCTCTCTCTCTATATTTGTTTCAAATGCCATATTTGCTTCACTAATCTCAATATGGTGAAGGACCGAGACGACAAACCAGGATTCAGGAAAACCCCGGAGTCTCGCAAGGTGCTCACCCACCGAGACATCAGGAGGAGAGAGAGACAAATCCCCCCCTCCCCCCCACCAACAGCCCTGTCTCAGATAAACAGACTGCGAAGCAAGAAGCAGATCAGAGGCTCAGCGATGTATAATCCACCACAGTTGCTATTTCGGGTTATATCTTCTGTTAATCTTACACTTTGCTGATAAGCACCTGAACAGCAAAGCTCTGGTTCAAGTGACCTGATAAAAAGAGTACCGATTTGGTGGAGTAAACAACAATGGCTTTGGGACACATAGCGACAGCTTATATAGGATGATACATCCCATGCTATTCCAACCCAATACAATATACATTTATACAGCGCCTTTCACATCAGGAGGATGTCCCTAAGCGCTTAGCACTGCTGGGGTTGAGGTGGGAGCCCAAGAAGGTGGGTAAGGGAAAGATGACCGAAAGTGCGGTCAAAGAGGTACATCCTTGGGATGTCCTCTCAACAACAACAACTTGGATTTATATAGTGCCCTCCACGCCGGACGGCATCTCAGAGTGCTTCACAGTAACGGATCCCGGGGCCGAGCCGGGGAGAGGGGGAGGAAGGTGACCAAAGGCGCGGTCGAAAAGAAAGGTCTTCAGCCGAGACCTGAAAATAGGAAGAGAGGGAGCGAGGCGAAGGGAGTGAGGAAGAAAGTTCCAGAGGCTCGGGGCATAGTGGCTGAAGGCACAGCCGCCGAGGGTGGAGCGGAGGACTCGGGGGACAAGGAGGAGACCAGAACCGGTGGAACGAAGGCAACGGGCATTGTTGTGAGGAGAGAGGTAGCAGGTTGCAGAGGAGTGGAGGGATTCCAATGGGAAAGGCGCAAAGTAAATGCAATTTGTTGTGCTCATTGTTGTTGTTGTCTTGAACTCTATTGCTGCCACCGCAATAGACTGGGGATAAATTAATTCAGCAATTAAAATCTGAACTTCTGAGATCTCGCCGTGCCTGTGATGTGTTAGACCTTCTGAGAAAGGACCACATTTTGCCAACAACAACATCAACAACATTACATTAATATAACCCCCTTCAAGTCGGAAAGACATCCATCCCAAGGCTCTATGAGCATGTGAACACAGTCAACTGATCGCACAGACTGTTCCTAGCGAATTACCACTCAAAAATAAAACACACACAAAAAGAAATGGACTAAAAACAATGACAGCAGTCTCCAAGGGCATTGCAACACATGGCCCTATCAGGGGCACAGGACAAGTGAGTGATAAACAACTCAGGATTGCAATCGGAATGATCCTGTGGATAGGGGACACACCTTGGAAAGGAACCGGTTCTTCCAGGCGAGCCACTTCATCAGAATAGAAAACGCAAGAGGAACCTGAACTACAGAACCCACTCGGGCAAAGAACAACGAGCAGTATTGCCATTAAAAGCGCACGGTCGAGGGCGCGGTGCTGGGGGAGGGCTGCATTCTCCAGGGCACCGTCTTTCAGATGACAATAATAATAATAATCTTTGCATTTGATATAGCCCCTTATCATGTCGTTGAGAAATCTCAAAGCGCTTCACAGAATATATTGTAAAGTGAGTTGACTGTGTATTTGTGGGGAAAATGCAGCAGCCAAATGTGCACAGCAGTGTCCCACAACCAGTCGTGGATTGAGTGACCAAATTATTATTGTTTTTTTGAAGGTATTATTATCCCCAGTAAGCGATCCACTTTTTGACTAACCAATACTAGGCAAACTGAGGCATGTGGAGTAAGGAAGCCTGCCTAATGTTTCGCACTGTCCAGGAACCTTGCGAGGCGAGCGCACTAACCAAAAGGCTACAGGACTCCACAGTGAGAAGAGGTGTTAAACTGAGGTCCTGTTCAGGTGGATGATAAATATACCTCGAAGCTAGTGGAAAAGAGAAGGGAGTTTCCCCCAGCGTGCTGGCCAACCAACAAACCCTCCATATAGAATTGGTCACTCACTTCATGGCCTGGTTGTGGACCCTTTAATGTGCGATGAAATGCACATTATGCAAAACAGTCGCCACCGGTTACAGTAATTACTGTTAAGCTTCGAGCCGTTTAACGAGCAAATAAAAGTGCGAGTTCCCTCCGGCACTGGTCGCTAAAGATTAATCGCGAGTTTCCGATTTTCACGGCGACCTTTTACCTTCGTAGCAATCTCGCACGGAGTCGAAGTAAACGTAGTACTGGTCGTTACTGATGAAGAGGAGGCTGAGCCAGGAGTCGAAGGAGTAGATGGGAACAATGAAAAGTATTCGCACAATAGATCGCTGCTCGTTGGGCATGGTGTAATTCCGCAGATGCAGGTAAATCTGTGCACAGAGGGGAAAACCCCACAAAACATTTTATTAATAATAATAATTATTATAATCCTTGCATTTGATATAGCAGCTGATCACGTCGTTCATAAATCTCAAAGCGCTTCACAGAATATACTGTAAAGTGAATTGACAGTATATTTTGTGGGCGAAACGCGGCAGCCAACTGCGCACGGCAGTGTCCCACAAACCAATCAAGTTTTTTTTTTGAGGGATTATTACGCCCAGAAAAGCGAGCAGTCAATCGACTAACAACCGGGATGTCAAGTTTTGGAACATTATAAGCATTGGAAGCATGTGACTGTGTGTGTGTGCGCATGTGAGTCCGTGTCCTTTGCATGTGTGTGTGGGTGTCCTGTCTGTGTGTTCAGGTGTGTGAAGTTCAAGGTGTTTTAGACACATGGAAAGCACTGGATACAATTCAGTGTCCAGGATGTGGATAAGTCACATCCTTCCTGTGCCAGGCATCACCTGCCTCAGCAAACAAGATAACACGTCCCAACCAAAGTGCAAATCTCCAGCAAACAGAGAGCACACACTTCCCAGTAAACAACCCACACTCAGGCCCCATCGATTGGCAGGAACCTTGAACCCTGTGGAGACGCCACCATCAATCATGGGTTGACAGGCCGTTATGGGCGCTCGCTGAAGCCCGTGTGTTCACGGAAATCACCGAGCACAAGAGGGAATTTCTTTCATTTTGAAAGAACCTTGGTTAACTGTCAGAGGGTCTGAGTCCTGAAAATTAACATGGGCTAAAGGCGCTTTGTTGTACTGTACTGACTTGCAAAAGAGACAGCGAAAGGAATGGAGAGAGACGTACGGGGACAGAGAGCAACACGGACACACTCGTTCATACACACGAACACACAGGCTTTGTAGCCCAACAACAGCCATAACTGACATTGATATAGTGCCTGTCATATAGGATAACATCGCAGTGCGCTTCACAGTAGCGGGTTCTGGGTGCGGAGCAAGGGAGAAGGGGGAAGAAGAGAGGTGACCATAGCAGCAGTCGAAGAGGTAGGTTTTAATGTGGGATTTAATGACAGATAAGTGGGGTTGTGGGTGGAGGGGGGGGCCCGGAAAAATGTTCCAGAGTTTAGGGGCATAGTGACTAAAAACTTGGCCACAGGTCAACTCAGGTTATGAACTCAAGCTCAGAGAACTTATTTTTGAGTGAAATTGCTTCATTAAGAGACGCATAAATACAAATGGCGATCAGTCCAGCTAACATAAAATCATAGAATTATACAGCACAGAAGGAAGCCATTCAGCCCATCGTGTCTGTGTCGGCTCTTTGAAAAGAGCTACCAACTAGTCCCACTCCTCCGCTCTCTCCCTGTAACCCTGCAAACTTGTCCTCCCAAAATAATTATCTACTTCTGTCCCGAACTACCTATGTACTATATCCCATAGTGCCATCAACAGTGAATCAGAACACTTCCGTAGAAAAGGCAGATTCAGGGGGTAACAGAGTCAGAGAGAGGCCTATTTTGTGGGTGGAAATTGATTTAATCGGCTCACAACACCAGCTCGAGATGTAAAGCAGATTTATGGCCCCTGTTGATAACGGTCATTTCACCTCCACTTTCAGTGCTAAATGGTCCTTTTCCCCCCTACCCCCACCTCCATCAGCATTGCCTACAATTACAGGACAATGAGCAATTTACAACCCAGACTCAAACCAGCCAGAGCTCTGCTAATAATTAACAGTGCGGAACATTACCTGAGCTGAAGGGGAGAAATGTACAGAGACTTTGGTCTCATTCTGATTTATTGACCCGATAGAGAGCGCTAATGCCTAGCAATCTGGCTATCTGATACGCCAATTGCGTGATTCATTTTAATGGGAGAATTGTGAGGCAGAGGGTTAGTGCCCTGACTCACTGTGTCACGCACTGATATGATACCCCACGTCCTGGCTTTGAAGGAAGCTTTCCATCTTGTTCTGGGCTCTCTGAACAAGCATACAGTGTCATTGTTAGAATGCCCCTCACTTGCGATCAAATCCCCTTATAACAAGGATGTGCAGTGGTTGCCTATCAATAGTTGATAATAATCATAATCCTTGGATTTGATATAAACATAATAATCCTTGCATTTGACACAGCGCCACGTCTTTGAGACGTGATCATCTAGATGAATCGATCACTTACTTCACGGCTGTTTTTGCAGGAACTTGCTGTGCGCAAACTGGCTGCCGCATTCACATTATAATTACAGTTCCTGCGCTTGGTTCAATGTCATCGGCACTGTACTAAACGTAAGGATCGGTTACAACGAACCCTGGGCAGTGGATGCTCCCTCACCTGGTGAAACGTTAGGATCAACGCCATCCACACGAATATCCCGGAGATTGCTTGCGCCGCCGCCGTTTCCAGAAAGATCCCCTGCTCCGCCACGCTGGCGTTGCTGACTGCCATCTTTTGCCACTCGCTGTCGTTTCCCGACAGGTTCCCGCTCACATAAGCCACGAGCTCCGAAACCAGCACCTCCGGAGTGGCCCCCGTCCACAGCCCGCTCTCGTTCATCTGGTCAGTAAAAACATAAGATTAGTACTGGTAAAGAAAGGTGGAAGGAAACCGTGGACGTAGGAATTAAGACCATCTGGCTAACCGGCGATCAGTAGGAAATCGCTCCCTTTTTCCCTGGAAGATCCTTGCAAAAAAAATCCTTGCATTACATATAACGCCTTAACATCCGTTGAGTTGTCTCAAAGCGCTTCACAGAATATACTGTAACGTGAATTCACTATGTATTTTGTGAGTGAAAATTGGCTGCAGGCAATTGCGTACAGCAGCGTCCCTCAAACAGTTGTGGATTGAGTGACAATTTTTTTTTGCAGTGGAGTTTGCAGAAGATATTGCAGTTTCAAGACTGAAAACAGCAACTGTAAACTGGTGTGAATCTGGTTCACTGTACAGGATAGGCGACACTCTGAAGCTTCTTTTGTAAGATAATAGGAACGTGCTGAACGCATCGGTGCAGAAAAACAAATTGCTGCCAAAACAGACTGGGTAACGGAGATGTGTGACACAATGAGTAATCAGTTAATCAGTGGCTGGAGAATAGAGAACATGAAGAGGAGTCGTGTCACTCTCTCTCTCCTCTCTCTCCGTATTTTGTGGCCGAAATACGGCAGCCAATTGTGCACAGTAGTGTTCCACAAACAGTGGTGGAATGAGTGACCAAATTAGTGTATTTTTTGGGTGAAGAGTTTGAGATATCTTCCCTACATGAAAGACGTAATATAAACGTAAATGGTTATTGTTATTGGAAATCCTCAGTCTGTGAAGAAAATGACTAATCTCTGCTTAGTACTTCCCTTCTCCCATCCACCCCCCCCCCCCCCCCACTCTCCCCTTCTCAAACCTGACTGGATTGCAGAGTGGAAATAGCAGCACCAGCCCTGAATCCTAACCCTCTGTGACACAGTCCAGTCTATTAAGACCCTGGTTTTATCAGCCATAGAGAGTGCTGCTTATGAACACAGCAGCAACACCTTAAGGAAAAAAATGTGATCACCCCAAATCTCTGTTCTGTTTAAACAGTTTCTGCGTTGGCCTAAATATACACAGTGACCACATCGATCAGCGATTACCTGTGGAGTGATTGGAACCTGATAAAGCACTACATCGAAAGAAAGGATTTATTACAACTAAACTAAAAATCAAATGAATAAGTTAGTGTCAGGACCAAAAGTTTATCACTGGATAAATATTTGTGGGAAATGGTGAGTCTGAAAAAAGACAGTAAAGTATTACATCCAGCACATTGAGTCATCTAAAAAGGAGCATGAGAGAGAGAAAAAAAATCTATTCAGTCTATCAATATTGTATGGGTGACATAGGGTGACTGTAATTAAATCTCAGGCTTCAGATGACTAACTGCAGGAGCTTTGCTCACAATTTAGGGCATCGCTTCAAACAAAACAAGTGAGAAAAAATATTTGAAGAAATGTTTTAAACAATTTTTTTTAAAGAAATCTACGGAACACGACGCCACCAAAACACTTCAATCCGCAAAAGGTGCAGAACGGATTCTCACACCATATAAAACACAATTTAAATTGTTTGATTATTCACCAAAACAAAAATCGGTTGTTTACTTCAAGACTGTTCATTGGGTTTTTGTTGGTTCATTGGGTGCTTTGTACAAATTGGCTGCCACATTCACCTCCAAATATAGTCACTACACTTCAGAGTAAAATCCCATGAAGCACTTTGAGATGTCTCAAAGTCATAAGGAGTCTGAATGTATCAAATACTAGAATTATTATTTTAAAATTATTAATAAGGGAAGGGAGTTTCTCCCAGTGCCCTGGCCAATAATTCTACAAATAAAACTGATTATTAACTTCAAGTAGACGTTAAAGATTAGGAAAACAGGACAGAGTTTCTCTCAGCGGCCGGCCCAACAATTCTTCCGGACCCTCAAGAATTATTAAAAATGCTTACTGTTCAAAAGGTTTTGAATCTACAACGTGAGATAATGATTTGACGCGTGCTTTAAAAAGTAGTATTATCGTTGTTTTAAAAAAGGAAAAAATATGCTTCACGTCCTTTACAGTACGTCAGATAGAGATATAAAGGAATATTACAGGCACTGAACACAATGGTACAGTAGGCACCAAGGAGACTTGTGTAAAGGCACTGTCTCTATAACACAATCCCAAGCAACAATTGCTACTTATAGAAATACAATGCTGATTGTATTTATTGTACGGCATATCCCTTCACTCCCTGGCAGCTCCCGAGCTCTCTGACCAGCTTACTCCCCAACCCACTGCCTGCTGCATCTGCTGTGGCCTCCTGCTTGTCCCTTCTGCCCTCCACCCCACCAACGACGGCCACGCTTTCAGCCACTACGCCCCAAAACACCCCCCAAAACTCTGGAACCCTCCGCCTTGCTCCCTTCTTCTCCATCTTCAGGTGGTGCTTGAAGACCTTCCTGTTCGATGGTGCTTACGGTCACCAGCCTCCCCCCCCCCCCACTCGGCTCGGTGTCATGCTCTGCCACTGTCAAGCGCTCTGAGATCCTACCCCATGTTGTTGTTGTTGCTCAGTTGTTACAATTGCTTATATAAATACAATCATTTTTTCCGTAGGGAATGCATTTAGTAAATAATTCTTTTTCGCAATGTTTTGCAACACAGTGCAGCGTTAGTTTCCTCGCGAGTGCCCAAAAACACACCGACACTCACAGGGGCACCCGGCTACAATCACCAGCATCAGGCCGAACAGAAAATAATAATACATGTACTTGCATTTGACACAGCGCCCTTCACATCAGGAGGTCCTCTCAAAGCACTTCGGAGGATTTACTGCAAAGCGTAGTGACTGTATTTGTAGGCGAACACAGCAGCCAATTAGGCGCACAGCAATCACCCATAAACAGCCATGAAGTGAATGACCAATTTTATCTGGAGGATTGATGGCCTGGGCAATGGAGAGAGACAAACTCCCTTCTCTTTTTGAAGAGCGCCACAGGAGGGATCTTAACACCTGGTTGGGGGAGGTTCTCGGTTTAACGTCCTATCCAAAGGATGTCACCTCCGAATATTTTGTGCAACCCCCTTATCGTATTGGAGCGTCAGTCAAGAGTGAGCTCAAAGTCCTGACATGAGGCTTGAACTCACAAACTTCTGACTCACAGGTGGGGCGTGCTACCCTCTGACACCTACGCAAACATGTTAAAAATCCATGTTTAGGTTTGGAGAGCATAGAATTCTCAGTTTAGTTTGGATACTCTTAATTAAGCATGGCAATGAGTTTCCGCATGTGTCAGACACCTGGCTGACCCTTCAAAAGTTTTAAAATTCCATTCCCGACTATTTACACCCAATTGCGTACAGCAGTGTCCCACAAACACTCATGGATTGAGTGACCAAATAAATATTATTTTTCTAAAACTTAATTAATTTATTGGTTTGTTTTGAAGGATTATTAACTAATAATTTACTGAACAGGTTTTCAACAGACAAAAACAATACCTTAACACCAACCTCTCAGTAGTTGTGTGTGTGTGTGTGTGGTCTGTGTGTGTCGTATGTGTGTGGTATGTGGTGTGTGTGTGTGTGTGGTGTCTGTGTGTGGGGTGTCTGTGTGTGTGGGTGTGTGTCCTACCTCTGAGGTGTTTAAGCTGCCCAGGAAAGCGTCCTTAGTGCAGGTTTGGGGCCAGGCTGGGGCTGTGGCCACATCTCTCAATAAGCAGCAGAACTCAGCAGCTACTGTCCGGGCTCTGGTTACCTGTCCCGCACAGGTGAGCAGGCAACCTGTCCCGCACAGGTGAGCAGGCAACCTGCCCCGCACAGGTGAGCGGGCAACCTGCCCCGCACAGGTGAGCAGGCAACCTGCCCCGCACAGGTGAGCAGGCAACCTGCCCCGCACAGGTGAGCGGGCAACCTGCCCCGCACAGGTGAGCAGGCAACCTGTTCCCACCCACACAGGTGAGCAGGCAACCTGCCCCGCACAGGTGAGCAGGCAACCTGCCCCGCACAGGTGAGCAGGCAACCTGCCCCGCACAGGTGAGCAGGCAACCTGCCCCGCACAGGTGAGCGGGCAACCTGTTCCCACCCACACAGGTGAGCAGGCAACCTGCCCCGCACAGGTGAGCAGGCAACCTGCCCCGCACAGGTGAGCAGGCAACCTGCCCCGCACAGGTGAGCAGGCAACCTGCCCCGCACAGGTGAGCAGGCAACCTGTTCCCACCCACACAGGTGAGCAGGCAACCTGCCCCGCACAGGTGAGCAGGCAACCTGCCCCGCACAGGTGAGCAGGCAACCTGCCCCGCACAGGTGAGCAGGCAACCTGCCCCGCACAGGTGAGCGGGCAACCTGCCCCGCACAGGTGAGCAGGTAACCTGTTCCCACCCACACAGGTGAGACACCTCCCTGTGAGGGAGTTACTTTTAATAACTTTATCTTCCAAAAGTGGGGCCCAACCCCAAAAAAAAACAACCGACAGGATTTTAAATACAAAGAAAAAGAAAATACTCTTAAATTTAAACCACCAGGTAACGAGGCGCCCCTCAGGTCGGCTGTGCCTCTCTCTCTCACTCACTCACTCACCTGAGCCCCCGCACGGCGCTAATGAGCATGCGCGCACAGCAGCCGCCTGGTCCAGGTGAGCGGTGGTGCTGACGTCACTGACCAGGACCGCGCATGCTCTGCTCGGCACTGCAGGCACCTTGCCCGCCATCTTGGTAAAGGAGAGCATTGGCTCACACAATGGTCGTGGGAGTGGGGGTGGGGGTGGGGGGGGGGTGGGGAGGGAATGGTCAATTCATTAATGATCTTTTATCAGGGGGCCCGTTTCCGAAGCATGAGTTATTTTTTTAAAAATAATTTTTTTTGTATATAGGCTTATTTATTATTTGCATGGATTATTATTGTTATTGTTACGTAAAACAAATACAATAAATTGGTCGCTTCAATCCACGGCTGTTTGTGGGACGCTGCTTCACGCAATTGGCTGCCGCGTTTCGCCCACAAAAGTATACAGTCAATTCAATTCACCGTATATTCTGTGAAGCGCCTTGAGACGCTATATCAAATGCAAGGATTATTCTTATTGTTTATTGAGTTATAATATAATAGTCCTTGCATTCTATATAAGGCCTCATCGCGTCTTTGAAACGTCTCAAAGTCCCTCACAGAATATATGGTAGCGACAATTGACTGTATATTTTGTGGGCAAAATGTAGTCAATTGTTTGTGGGACACTGTTCTGCACAATTGGCTGCCACGTTTCGCCCACAAAATATAGTCAATTCACTTTTCAGTATATGCTGGGAAGTGCTTTGATACATCTCAATGATGTGATAGGGGACTGTATCACATGCAATTATTATTGTTATTCCTATATTACAGACAGTGGCATTTAACCTTCATGTCTCCCACCCATTCTGTCCCATTAGAGGGTGCACAAATTCAGTTGCTTTGCCCTCATTGTCTACAACTCTCTTCTGACATGCCTCTGCCACCCACTCCTCCTACCCCCTCCCTGCTTTTCAAAACCCAATTCCTTCAAAAAACTTGCTCTTAGACCTTGCTCCGTAACTTAGGATAACATGCCTGACATTTATTTGTTCCTGAGATAATTAGTTTTAGGGCATAACTTAAAATGTCATCTCCAGTCTGACAGGCACAGTTTGTGTAACAGTTTTGATAAGGCTGTCATTGTCAATTCAAGTGGAAAGCAGCACCATACGAAAGGAGTTGAACAAGATCAGTGAGAATACTTGGAAAACTACTTCACAGAAAGATCTCAAGATGCAGCACAAAGACAATGTCCCATTATTTAATGGAACGCTCCTGCTTTCCACCAAATGTTTTATTGATGTGAATCCACCTCGTGCATTATTGATCATCTTCTTGAAGAGGACAAACAACATCCATTTGATTCTTACAAAAACTGCACTGCAATGATTATCAAAACTGATTTTTTAAAATATACATATATGTTTAAAAGTCTAGGCAGGTAGAGCATTAAATGCAATTGCTTGCGTTCTCTGGGTCCTTCAGAAGTGATCGGAATTATTGAACGGGTCCCGGAGGGGAAATGCAGAATTTTTGCAAAAGTAATCATCCTGAGAGGAACGAATAGTGGCACCTGCTTCATAAACTGTACTGTATTTTTCTCACAACAACAAATGACATTTATGTAGCACCTTTCACATTGGAATGACGTCCCAAGACTCGTAAGCAAAAATATTTCATATTTGGGACGGGTCAGAAATGCTGCCTTTAAGCATTCTACACTTAAAGGAGGAAACTGACAAATGGGCAAGGCACGATTTTACTAAACATTATGCTCAGCTTGCAAACCTTATGGTTCATGAAGACTATTCCAAGCCGAAGAACAGCAAGTAAGTCTTACCGTCGACAACAGTAGTGCCCTTCATGTGGGAGAGTAGTTTTGCTGTCAACAGCAACATTTTCTGTGGATCTTTCCTGCAGGAAACATGGGGATTGTTTCCTTACAATCACTGTGAATAGTGGGGGACTCAACAATTGCTGGAAACCTATCAGCACGAAGGAGACGAGCACCAAAAAAATTGCCTGCGTACGTACATCTTACTGAACTGAGAACTCTGTTCCAAAATAAATTGAATTGGAATAGTTTGTTGGGAGTGATGTACATGGGATTCCCTCCATGAGACGCTCATTATATCTCTAGATTTCTCTGGTGTCACGGTGCAGTTTTCCAATTCAAGCGATTTTCAGTTCCACTCTTGGGTGCAGGTGATCCCAGATCAGTGAGCTAACCATCTGAAGAAAGGCCCAAAGACCACATTGATGTCCAGTCAATTCACTTTATAGAATATTCTGTCAGCGCTTTGAGACGTTTCGAAAACATAAGGTATTATATCAAATGCAAGAATTAATATTATCATCACAGAAAAATCCGAGCTTTCTGTAGAAAACACTGCTTTTAATCTTTAATAATCGAGTATTTAAACAACTCATATTTCACAACAATGTGAAATATCATTAAGAAGTTCAGATGGAATTACATGCACCAATGATCTAGATGGAAATTTACTTTATAAATATTTCATAATTATTTTCAAATTCTTTCCCTCCTCCCCTTGCATGTATCTTCCTGAATATTTACAGGACGGTGTCTGGATGTTGTTCACAGATGTCACAGCCTTGACTTTAGCTACAGTTCTGGATCATGGACACAGAATAAAACTCTGCTTACGCATTTTACAAGGAACGTAAGGACAACAATGGAATTGGAGAATAGACGAGATGGCCTTTAGTTTCCACTTGTCCTTAAACAAAATCCAGATTCGCATTGGAAAACACACAATGTCTGTCCTCCAGCACATGACACACTGGACTTCATCCTCCCGTTGTGCCAGATGTGGCAGATCGGCGTTTTCATTTGGAGACTTCACCATAGCCGGCAGCTCTGGATCAGCTGTTTCATCGATTTAACGCTGGATAATGTTGGGTCTTTCAGTGCCAGGGCGAGGAGCACAGACTTGTTGCCGGACTCCTCAGACACAAAGGTCACCAGGTGCTTTGCGTAGACATGCATAAGAGGCTACAAAGAAAAGGAAGACACAAAATAAATGTTTCAGACGGACCCTGTGTTGAATTGCAGCTCAGACTAATAATAATAAATAATAATAGTCCTTGTATTTGATATAATAATAATAATCCTTGCATTTGATATAGCGCTTTTCACGTCGGGAGGACGTCCCAAAGCGCTTCACAGAACACACTGTAAAGTGAATTGACTGTATATTTGTGGGCGAACGCGGCAGCCAATTGCGCACAGCAATGTCCCACAGTCGTGGATTGAAGATGACCAATTTATTATTGTTTTGTTTTTTTGGAGGGATTATTATTATTAGGGGTGTGGAGTAAGGAAACTTGCCCAAGGTTTCGCCCTCTGCCTGGGATTGAACTCAGGTCTCTCGCTTGCAAAGCAAGTGCTCTAACAACTGAGCTAGAGATATAGCGCCTTAACACATTATCGGGACATCTCAAAACACTTCACAGGATATTCTGTTAAGTGGAGTGACTGTTTATTTTGTGGGTGAAATACAGCAGCCAATTGCGCACAGCAATGTCCCCACAAACAACCAGGGAGTGAGTGACCAGTTGTTTATTTGGGGGATTGTTGGCCAGGACACCCAGAGAGAGAAACTCCCTTCTCTTTTTGAATAGTGCCGCGGGATCTTTAACGTCCAACTGAACAGGGAGTTGGGACCTGGATTTAATGTCTCATCTGAAGGTCGGAAGCCTCTGTATGTTCAGTTGCAGGAAGGTGGTGGGTCCAGGCTCACAACGTGAAGCTGACAACCTGACTCGTGAGGAGCCACAGAACGATCGGTGTGAGACATGAAAAATGCTGTACTGGGTCAGCGGGGTGGTGCTCTTCATTACCTCTTCCTTTCCCATGAGGATCTTTGTGCTAAACAATGCCTTGCCAAACTCATTCTCTACCAGGGTTGGGGTCAGTGAGATCAACGTCCCCATTTTCCCAAACTGCGTCACCATCACGAAGATGTGATCGCCGAACGCTGTGCACACGACCTCCGTCAGGTTCCCTTCGATGACCTCTGATGTCTGCTTTGACTGTATGATGTGTTTTGACTCCATGGTTTCCTACCAAAGAAGCACAGCGAACCGTTACCCTGCACCTACAAAAAACCTGCGAGAACAGTATACTCGCTGCGCACAGAAATCGGTCATTCAGTTTGAGAGATGTCGCTGTGCGCAAATCAGCTGCTGCATTTGCCTACAAAACACACCGTCACTGCCCTTTACAGTAAAATCCTGCGAAGCACTGCCTTAGTAGCATTTCAACGTGCATCACACGTCCTACAAACAGACGTGGATTGAGTGACCAAATTATTATTATTATTTTTGGAGAGGGATTATTACTCTCCCAGAAAGCGATCCGCCAATCGACTAACAACCGGGTTCCTACTTACCGCTAAGTCAACAGAGGAGTGTGTGTGTGGTGTGTGTTTGTGTGTGTGGAGTAAGGAAACTTGCCTAAGGTTTCGCCTTGACCGGGGAATCAAACCCAGGTCTTCTCGCTTGCGAGGCGAGCGCTATAACCGCTATATTATGGGGACTCCAATCTTTATTTTGTCAAGTCATTTCTGCAATATATACTGTGTATATATTATACAGTGGATATATATAATAATACTCCTTGCATTTGATACAGTGCCTCATCACGTCGTCGAGACATCTCAAAGCGCTTCTCAGAATATACTGTAAAGTGAATATATATTTACAAACATAAATATTAATATAAACCCGCGAGCAGCAGACACCAACCCCCACCCCTGAATCTCCCCCCTCCCCTGAATCTCCCCCCTCCCTTACCCCCGGAATCCCGCTCCTCCCTGAATCTCCCCCTTCCCGAATCTCCCTCCCTCCCCCTGAAACTCTCCCCCCTCCCCCTGAATTCCCCCCCCCCTCCCCCTGAATCTCCCCCTTCCCCCTGAATCTCTCCCCCTGAATCTCCCCCCCCCCCCCCCCAAAGTCCTGGAGTCCTGTAGCTCAGTGGTTAGAGCACTCACTTTGCAAGTGAGAGACCTGAGTTCAATTCCAGGCAGAGGGCGAAACCTTGGGCAAGTTTCCTTACTCCACACAGAGCCTAATAATAATCCCTCCAAAACCAAAAACAATAATAAATTGGTCATTTTTAATCTACGACTGTTTGTGGGACATTGCTGTGCGCAATTGGCTGCCGCGTTCGCCCACAAATATACAGTCAATTCACTTTACAGTGTGTTCTGTGAAGCGCTTTGGGACGTCCTCCCGACGTGAAAAGCGCTATATCAAATGCAAGGATTATTATTATTAATCTCCCCCCCGCCCCCCCCCCCCCCCCCCACACACACACACACACACACACACAGCCTCTGCTCAGAGGTGAAAATGTCATCACATTTGAATTTATCTTTCGATTGAAATTTTTTAAAAAATGTTTTGGCGCGGAGGCCGCTCGGCTTCCAGGTCTCAAGGGGCCCAGAACACGCTGCTCCCCTTCCCCGGCTTCCTCCTCACCCCGACCCCCGGCCCCCCGGCCCCCGGCCCGGCCTCCCCTCAGCACCTGCTCCTCAGGCTTTTTCCTGGCTCTGGAGCACGTAGGCCGCAGCTCACTGCGCATGCTCACTGCGCATGCTCACACCCACCCGGGGGGGGAGGGGGAGGGTTTGTAGCCCAAACCGCCCAATCACGAGCCCAAAAGGGTAGCCCAATATTATGTGGGGCATAATAACAGTACTGACATGCCCAATATTGGGGGGAAAACAGTGGATTGGCCCAATTTTAGGGTTAATACATTTTCGGGACAGTGCAAGAAAAGGTCTTCAAAGTAGATTTTTTTTTAAAAAAAAGAAAGAAAGTTTTGCGTGATTCAATGAAAAGTTTTCTTGAAAAACAATGAGGCGCACACTCCAACTGGGAGTTTCTTTCTGGTCAACCGGGTGCCCGACACAAGGGGAAACCCATCACTGTGCTTCAGCTGAGAAACTGAGAATTCCATGCGTGTTCACCTCCTTCCTTCCACCCACATTCATTTCTCTCGCTCACTCGCTCACTCACTCGCTCCCTCACTCGCTCACTCCCTCACTCCCTCAAACTCGCTCACTCGCTCAAACTCGCTCACTCGCTCAAACTCGCTCACTCGCTCAAACTCGCTCACTCGCTCAAACTCGCTCACTCGCTCAAACTCGCTCACTCGCTCAAACTCGCTCAAACTCGCTCAAACTCGCTCACTCGCTCAAACTCGCTCACTCGCTCAAACTCGCTCACTCGCTCAAACTCGCTCACTCACTCACTCACTCATTTGGAAATTCCTGTGTTTGGACTGGAATGTGCTCTCTCTCCGCGGAGAGATGCACCCTGCGTACCTAATTCTGGAAAGTATTTAAGCGCCTGTTGGAGAGAGCCAAAGCTAGTGATGGTGATGAGCTGAATATTTCTGGTCAAATGAAAACTCTGAGGCATCTCCTCGGGTGAAATTGCCTCGACCGAGCTGGTTGCAGTGAAGATGTTCTTCCAGCAGAGGCCGGTGCTACACAATTTACATTGCCAGCTGTTCTCCGCTGCTTCCAGTTTACAGATGCTTAATGACAAACGTTGCTTTTGATCCAACTCCTTTCGCATCAGGAGGGCGTCTTAAAGCTTCACGGGATTTACTGTAAAGTGTAGTGACTGTGCATTTTGTAGGCGAATGCCACAGCTAATTTGTCCATAGCCATACTCGCACAAACAGCCGTCGCTGGGACATTGTTGGCCAGAACTTCTGTAGAGCGAAACTCCCTTCTCTTCTCCGATAGCGCCATGGGATCTTTAGCGGCCACCCGAACAGGCATAGACAGGGAGCTAGTTTAGCCTCAGTTTGAAGGTGGCACCTCCGACAATGAGGAGGTTCTCTCCCCCCACCCCCAGCACTGCACTGGAGTATCAGCCTGGACTATGTGGTGTGGACAATCCCCCTAGGCTGATGCTCCAGGGTATTTGGTCATTCATCTCACGGCTTCTGCGTTTGCCTACAAAATACACAGTCAATACAGTTTACTGTATGTCCTGTGAAACTTTGAGGCATTTTAATGCCATGATATTGCGGAGTCCTGCAGCATATTCATTAAAGCGCTTTCTGTGGTTAATAATCCCTTCCCCCCCAAAATAATAATATGGTCATTCAATCCACGACTGTCTGTGGGATACTGCTGTGCGCAAATGGTTGCTGCGTTTCGCCCACAAAATATACAGTCAATTCACTTTACAGTATATCCTACAAAGCGCTTTGAGTCGTCTCAAAGACATGATAATAAGGCGCAATATCAAATGCAAGGATTATTATAATATTATAACATTAATATTATTATTATTATGACATTGTCCCTGTCTGGAAGCTGTCTTTCCCTTTAACGTCCCTCTTGCAGCCGAGGTTGAGGAGGTGTCAGGAGGAAGATGTATATCTCTGAGCCCAGGGATTTGCTGAACACAAACTATTTTCCTGCCCGCCAGTTTTCCTTGGCAGAGTTGCGTTTTATAGGCATAGTCTACGTCCTTTCCTGACTCTCTCAATGTGATCTGGACTCGACAAGCACCTGTGTCCCCTGTGTGGCTGAACACTCTGCACTGTTGTCAGATGTGGTCCAAGGTTGTTTGCTTTGGTCGCCTCTTCTCTTCCCCCCTCCCCCCCACCCCCCTCCACCACCACCTCCCGCCAGCAGCTCAGAATAACCTTCAGAACGCACACAGTGTCAGAGACAAACTCAAACCAGATGCACAGTTTGCATAACTTGTGATTGGCCTTCTCTGGAAGCCAACAAGTCAGTCTTTCAGTGTTTTTTTTGATGTTATAATCCCCTGTAACAGAGAACGAATAAAGGTCTTAAACAGCTTCGAAATAATTACTGTCTCACACACAGAGACCTTTTTAGTAGGCGCCCATTTTGTGCACAGCAAAGTCCATTGAACAGTCATGAGGTGAATGACAATACAATGGACCGGGGAGCGTACATTGTTCGGATGTGCCGCCCTTCAGATGAGACATTAAACCGATTGGCGATTGTTAGTCGATTGGAGGATTGCTTCTCTCCAATAATTCCTCCAAAACAAATAATAATAATTTGGTCATTCAATACACGACTGTTTGTGGGTCACCGCTGTATGCAATTGGCTGGCACATTTCGACAACAAAATATACGCAGTCAATTCATTTCACAGTATATTCTGTGAAGCGTTTTGAGACGTCTAGAAGACGTGAAAAGCGTTTTATCAAATGTAAGGACTATTTATTATTATGCAGTGAAGTGCTTTGAGACGGCTCAACAATGAGATAAAGCGCTGTATCAAATGCAAAGATTATTAACGTGGAGCAGTGGGGCTGTTTGGAATTCCACTTGTGTTTGGCCGCTCACCACACAAGCTGTCGGTGCCTCGTGTCTCGTCACACCTGCAGGAGTTTGAAATTGAGAAGATCTGCTTTCCATCACCGCCAATTCTCATTACCTGTCTCCCCGTCCCTGCTACACCGAGCAGTGTGTCTCTTTGTATTAATGGGAAAGTGTTTCAGTCAAAGGCATTTCACTCACATTTTAATAATAATAATCCTTGCATTTGATACAGCGCCTTACCATGTCGTTGCGACGTCTCAAAGCGCTTCGCGGAATATACTGTAAAGCGAATTGACTGTATATTTTGTGGGAGAAACGCGGCAGTCAATTGCGCACAGCAGTGTCCAACAAACAGTGGTGGATTATTATTATTATTTTCTTTTTGTTTTAAGGGATTATTATCCCCGGAAAAGCGATCCGCCAATCGACTAACAACCAGGTCTCTATTTACTGCTAGGTAAACAGAGGCGTGCGGAGTAAGGAAACTTATCACCCTGCCCGGGAATCAAACCCAGGTCCTATTGCTTGCAAGGTGAGTGCTCTAACCACTAAGCTACAGGACTCCACAAAATGTGAGAACACGCAGATTCAAGGATTAAAGAATGGCCTTAATTTGGAAACCAGTTATCTATGGATTTTAATTCGCAATTTGCTGCCAATGTAAGGGTGAATTTGACAATGTTCCACCGTTCTGCCTCGCCTGGAATCAGATGCTGTGGATTTTCAGTAAGGTTATTGTAGAAAATTAGCTCTTCCGACCAACTACTGTAGTGGCTATCCTCCCAGGAGGTGGGGAAGGTAAATGGGGTCTCCTCAGGGGTGAGGTGGCTCCAAGGTGACGTGCTTGGTCATGGAATATCAATCGAGTCAATCCTGTGTGGTGCAGTGCTTCAATTCCTGAACCAGGCTGATCTGCAGATCTCCAGGGCACTGTGCTGACTGACTGACAGACAGACAGACAGACAGCCTGGATTGTCAAGGGGACATTTCCATGCCTGGGTTACATGTGCTCATGGAACTCTTGTCTAAGAAAAAATTGGATGGGCTCTGCTACCCCAGTCAAGTGGGCACTGTTCATGTATCAGCTTTGGTCGTGAGTGTTGGCAGTACCACTTGACTGCAGACAGCATCACACCCCAGCCTGACCTCTCCCTACCCGCCTGACACATACACACACGCACACACACAGTACAAGGAGTCCTGTAGCTCAGTGGTTAGAGCACTCGCTTTGCAAGCGAGAGACCTGAGTTCAATTCCAGGCAGAGGGCGAAACCTTGGGCAAGTTTCCTTACTCCACACACCTAATAATAATCCCTCCAAAAACCCCAAACAATAATAAATTGGTCATTTTCAATCCACGACTGTTTGTGGGACATTGCTGTGCGCAATTGGCTGCCGCGTTCGCCCACAAATATACAGTCAATTCACTTTACAGTGTGTTCTGTGAAGCGCTTTGGGACGTCCTCCCGACATGAAAAGCGCTATATCAAATGCAAGGATTATTATTATTATTATAAACCTACATTCGAACCAGGAAAGTATTGATATGGAAAATGCAGCTCCACTGGGATTATCTTGATTGAGGTGCATTCACCCACAAAAACACACAGTCACTTCACTTTACAGCTTCTTCTGTGAAGCGCATTTGAGATGTCTCAACGACGTGATAAGGCGCTGTATCAAATGCAAGGATTATTATTATTGTCTAGATTGAACAACAACAACAACAACAACAAGATTCCATTTATAGAGCGCCTTTCACGTCAGGAGGACGTCCCAAGGCGCTGCACAGTTGGGTCATGACCCGAGCAGGGGAAAATGGTCAGGGTGAGGGGAGGGAAGGGAGGGAGAGAGGAGGGGGGAAATGGTCAGGGTGAGGGGAGGGAAGGGAGGGAGCGAGGAGGGGGAAGAGAGTCGAGAGGGGAGCTGAAGGCACGGTCAAAGAGAAGACTCTTTAAGCATGGTGATGGGTTTCCTCGTGGGTTAGACATGCGGATGTCCACCCCAAAAAAGTCTTTAATTCTCTGCCAACCTCACCTTCAAAAGGATATTGTTAACCTTCAAAAAGAGCGGCACCAACCAATTGCACCAAGGTGGCATCCTTTGGACCAGAAATGCCAACCTTGCGCTACACTAGTTTGATGGCAGCTTAGCTTTCGTTTCAACCTCCTCCCACACCACCGTCCCCACCCCCACCAGTAGGGAATCATCCTGGGAGCACATCACTCGGAGATTCTCGCTGGCTGGCTGCCGCCAGTGAGGGTGAGAGAGGA